TACTTTGAACCGTTTGCATGTGGATTTTCTGTGGGTTTTTGCAGGTTTTGGGCAAATTTTCAAACTTGGGGAAGTTACTGTTGAGCTTCGTGCTGGGCGCTGTTCTTCGCGTCGGGCGCGTGACCACCAGGGGGCTCTATCTAGGCAAGCTCGCGGGGCGCAAGGGTGTGTGGGCCGGGCGAGCTTGAGAATGAGAGCCTCTGGTTGGCCCACGCGGGGCGTGACTTGAGCTGCGCTGGGCCCAATTTCAGTTGTGGCCAAATTTTGGATTTCTGGTGCTGCGCTAGGCACGCATTTGGGCTCGCTGGGCGCGGAGACTCCTTGGGAGTCTCTACCTTGGGAGCGCCGGGCGCAATTCGAATTGCGCTGGGCGCGAGACCTTAGTAGGTCTCTGCCTTCCCCACACTGGGCGCGGGTTAGGCCACGCTGGGCGCGTGAGGCTCCCTGGAGTCTCTGCCTGGGCCTGCGCTGGGCTCAATTTGAATTGCGCCAGGCGCGTGAGAACCTTGGGTTCTCTGGTTGGGTCACGTCGGACGCGAGTACTCTTGTGTCGAGCGCGATGGCCCCTGGTGCTCTCTGGTTGAGCCGCGCTGGGCGCAACCACGAGTGCGCCGAGCGCGTATGGTGATGTTAAATTACATGCTGATAGCTGTTAAATTTTGCTGAAACTGTTGATTTATGTTACTATACGTTGAATTAAGCTGTATTAGATGTATATTGCTGTAAGATGTTTAGATGTACTGTAAGATGGTATGCTGTGTTGTAAAGTTGTGTTGTGTTGTATGTTGATATGAGTTGTTGTAGGCCGTAAGGCTGAGTTGTTGTAGGCCGTAAGGCTGAGTTGTAATAGGAGATCTCTGAGATGATATGCGTGACGACGCATTGTGTGCTTATTGCTGTTTATGCTGTATAGTTGATGAGGTGTATGCTGGTGCTGTGCTGATAATTGTAGTTGTTCATATTTCATGTATATGTTTATATGCTGATTCTTTACACTAGCTTACCCTTTGATGTTTCCATGTGGTTTGGACTGCGATGATCATACTATGTATGGGAGCAGAGCAGAGATAGGTTGGTGGCTAGTGGTGAGTCTGCAGCTGGCAGGTGGAGCTGATCCTTGTTGATGTTTTGTTGTTTCAGCTACTTGGTGAAGTAGCTTTGGATGTATTTTTTTTGTACATTATGAATCTAGTCAGACTTGGACCATGTATATATGTATATTCTAGATACTATATGTATATACTTGCTCCTTTCTATCCAGTTTTCAAGTATACTGTGTTGCGTATAGTGACCAGCCGGCTCGTTAGATGATACATCTATTTAGATATGAACTAAGAAAAATAATCTATAACCATTAGATTAGATTTGGATTGACTATATTTACATGTTCTATATGTATCCGAGTGTGTTATGATAAAAATTAAGGTTAAATTATTATGTTAGTTTTAAAATTATCTGGAATTTTTTTCTCGTGTGTTTTTTTTATGTAAGTTTTATGATATTTAAACTCTTTCGGGTTCAAACATATAAATTAAATTTCAAAGTTTTTATGCAAGTAAAATTAATTAAATAGGTTTCATGTCTTAAATTAGTTAAATAAAAAACTAAAATTATATTTCAAAATTAAAAATGATCACTATTTCATAATTAAATTAATGAAAATTTAAAATATAAAAGATTAAAATAAACTTTTTGAAATAAAGATAAAATAATAATTAAATCTTTTTTATATGTATTCTTTTTAGGCAACCTTATTTAATGCACGATCATACACCAAGTTTTGGCACCTCTTAATTTAAACCTTAATTTCATTGTAGAAGATTAACCCTTTTGTTAAATCCAACATCCGTACGTTGTTGATTAAAAATATACACTTATATTAGGTATTTTTATGCATAATGGTGACAACAAAGTTATAATGTAGGACATTATGCATATTATTTAAACCTTTCGTCACAAAGTCATCTTTATGGTATGTTTAGATGAGGAATTTATATACGGTAATTCATTTATTTGAAGAATTTCAAATTCTTTGAGGTGAAATGCTTTGTTTGGATGAGGAATTTACAAAGAATTTGAAATCCAAGCATTTGTGAAATTCTTTAAAATAATAGAATTTCAAATTTTTTCAAAAATGGGAGAATTTGAAATTCCTCATATTTGTTTTTCATATTTCACCTATATATTTTATCTTATCTCTTCATTCTTTTAATTATTGGATATTCAAAAATATTTTTAAAATTATTAAATATTATCTAATACTAATTTTTAAAATTATTAAATATTTAAAAATGGATTAATATTTATTTTTATAAAATTTAATTTAAAAATCTCAACATATAAATATATTTTTAAAATCAATTTTACTATGATGGAATCAAATTATCATATTCAACTTAACAATTTAAAATTTAAGAAATTTGAATTGACTCATCCAAACAAAATATTTTAAAAATGATAGAAATTGAGATCAAAGTAATTCAAATACCAAGAATTTAAAATTATTTGAATTTGTAAAATTCTTCATCCAAACACACTGTTAGCGATTTGTAATAAATTAAAAGTGAATATAACTGTAATTAGTTTGTTAATATAATGATAGTTTAATATATTATTTCATCACTAATTTTTTTAAAATTTTTTAATTAGGTCTCAAAATTAAAATAATTTATAATTAGATTTTTCATTTTTTTTATATTTTTGTAATCCATGAAACTTGACAAATATTATTTATATTTTCTCATATTTGCACAACAACATTAAATTTTCATGTCATCATCTATGTGTATTATATTTCAATTATTATCTATTAAAATTATCGTAATCCCCGTAATTACTAATCCTAAACTTTTAATCTCTAATTGATGAGATTCATTTAATCTTCCTACCGGTGGATATAACCTACAAAATTGTTTCCAAACTCTAAAATAAGTTGTTCAAGTATGAAGATATGAAAATATTCTATCAAGTTTTGCAAATAGTAAACAAGTCACTATCTCTAAAGACTAAACTACAAAATATATATAAAAAAAATAAAATAGAAGGACCCAATTAAATTTTTTGTAGGGAAACTAAATAATTTTTTTTCAAAAAGTTTTGTGACGAGTTGATGTATTAAACCTATAATGAATTAATGATAGAATTGAATTTTCTTTTTATTAAAAATCAACATTTTTTTTATAATAATAATAATATTAAAAAAAGAGTAAGAGTTCCAATATTCAAATTATAACCTATTTTGGTAATTGTAAAATGTCTCACATCTAGGAATCAAGATAATGATAGTTTATAAATATCATCCACAATCCATTTGAGACATCTTTTAAAAATAAAATCATGACAATCTATTAAGTGTTAAAATGAATAATACTTTAGATGTAGTGATCCTAATGATATAAAGTAATTAAAATTAGAAAATTGACACTAAAATAAAACTGGAATCACTCTTATTCATTAGTCTCGATTATGGTACTTATTTTTAGTACATAAAAAAATCTTACATTATTTAAAGAGTTAATCACCTATATACTGTCAGTGTAAAAAAAATTTACACCGACAACCAATTATATCTTTTAATTGTGTCATGTCACTGTAAACACATTTACTTTTAACAGTGACATGACACAACTAAAAGATATAATTAGTTGTCAGTGTAAAAAAATTTTACACTAGTAGTGTATAGGTGATTAACTTACTTAAAACTCAAAACTAAAAGTAGCTTATAAACTTTATCTTCAACCTATTAAGACATCTTTTAAGAACAAAATTGTAATAATACATTGAATATTAAAATAAACAATATTTTGAGTACGATAACCTGAATAATGCAAAGAACTTGAATGTAGAAAATAGACAAATCCCTTCATTCAAGCATTAAAACCCAGGACCAATCCAAAGTCAATTGGTTAATTGGTGTAAGGTGCATTCCCTAAACTCTAACTCTCTGCCCTTCATACATGGCATGATCTTATGCTGATCTATTATTATCCTTTGCTTCATTATACATTTTTCCTTCTAGACATATCAATAGAAGAACGAAAGGATATGAGATGTATCGAGAAAAAAAATTGGAGATGCAGGGGATCGAACCCTGTACCTCTCGCATGCAAAGCGAGCGCTCTACCATTTGAGCTACATCCCCATATTATTTTTTAAAGTTAATTATTAAAATCTCTTTTTACTAGATATGCACAATAAAAGACAAATGCGAATTTGTACATGAAGCTAGGACCTTGTACCCCATTCCAAGTCTAACTCAAGAGCTTACATTTATTTATTCTATTTCCGTAGCTTAAAATATTTGTTTCAGCCATTTCTGGATCTCATTCGGCTTTTTATACACAAGCTCCAGTTTTGTGCTTCTCATCAAGTTTTACTCTAAACGTTGTTGTAGAAGAAAAGATTACAAGTTGAACTAGATGAAACGAATAAAAAAAATAGAATGAAAACATGTTAGACAATTAGTTCTTCATATAAAAAGTTTCATGTTTATGATATCATAGCCTTACATTCAACGGTCCATTTGTTTATTTGGTATGAGTTTAATTTTTCAATTTGATAGTACACTGTGGTCTCACTATAGTGCAAATTTTTTTTGATCAAACAGTATTTGATGCTAAATAGGAGTTTGCGGTGTTCCAATAGACTGTAGTTGTATAATACGTGCATCAGTACTTCTGCACTTGATACAGGTAGGATAAGGATATAAATGTCACCAATTTTGACTTATAACATATATTATAGGCCAATCTCCGATCTAAACTGGAACCTTCCAGGTATCAGTTATTTCTTAAGCAACAAATTGCTGCATTACTTAATGTGAATGATGTCAAAGCATGCCTTTGGCCGCATCAGAAAACTAAAAGAAATGCAAGCAGTATTCAATAATTTTTTTTTCTTGATAATTTAAATGTGAGGAACATATGAAGTGATCGTTCTAAGATCATGATCTCATAGATGCATGCTACATTAGTTATAGCATTACATAAGGATATATAGGCAGCACAGCATGGTAATACATAAAAGGAATGAAAAAGAAGTACTAGCTTGATTATGATGATATTTTAGGTAATGAATTAATGTTCTCACCCTTGACACATGCATAGATTGTAATTAATTAATTAGCTATAGGATAAGAGGCATGGAGGTTAACGCCACAAAGACCTTGACGGGAACCAGTGTCCCTCTTAAGCTTCATGTAACCACCCTCGCCCCATTGAGAGCCCCATGAATTCCTCAACAACCAGTACTTGCCATCTGTGTCCTCACCATACCCAATTGCAGTAACTGCATGGTTAAGGATAGTTCCACACTCGCCATGGAAAACTCCTTCAGAGTAAAACTGAAATGCTTGTCCCGAACCATCAAGGAGTACTGAGACAGGTTGGTTGGCCACTGCCTTCAGAAGCTCCTCCTCGCTCTCTTTAGGTACTCTTTGGTAACCAATAATATTCTGGATTTCAGGTTTCAACATAGCACAAGTCCCTTCTTTTCCCTTGTAAGGGTATTCTGCTTCATTTGCAAGACCATACCTTTCTATATACTCATAGGCTGTCTCTACGAACTCTCCATTGCAACCGTCATCGCTGGCACAATCCACCAATTGTTGCTCAGACAATGAAACCAACTTCCCTTTCTTGATTTTGATAATCCCTTCAACAGTTGCCACAGCTGAAAATGCCCAGCAACTCCCTGCACGCACGTACCCCAAATATTACTATGAATCTCATTGAAAATAAGTCTAAAAGTGTTTTTAGAAGCTTCTCTACTAGAAACAATATTTTATTTTCAATGGAGAAAAATACTTCTAACTTGCATCTAGATAGACTTTATAATATCTATATCATAATGTTAATGCATATAAACACTAACATTACACATTTTTTTGTAAGTCAATATATGGTTTTCTTCCAAAGTGAATTGAAATTTGAACGGCATGCATGCATGCATGGTTATTCATTCCATATATAATATATTTGTTCGACACATACAACAACTTACCACATTTGCCTTGGTTCTTAATTTTATTAACAGCTCCTTTGGTTCTCCAATCCAAGCTTGGCTCAATGTCACTGACACTGATGTTGTGGTAGCCAAGATTGTGGTTAATCTTGGACGACCCTGGTGGCTTAAAGAGAGCTCCTGTGTGAGACGCGACGAATTCTTCGTTAGTCAAATCAGCAAAAATGTTTAGGCTTAAATTGTACCTATTGTTTCCATCGTTGTTGTGTTTCTCTATGAACTCCAAGTTGTCCTTGAATATCTGTTGGCGTTTGAGCTTCTCTGCAGTGTCAGCATAAACACGGTCATGCAAGGCCATCCACTCTTCGTGCAGTGTGGCAATGGAATGTTGAGAGAGTGTGCGGGAAGTGGATTGAGATGTGAAAGTCAAGAAAAATATGAAAATGCATATGGTGACAATAGAGTTTTTGTCCAGTGTTAAAGCCATTGCTCAATGCTTGGTCACTCTAAGAAGCAAATGTCTTTTCTTAAACTGAATAATGCAATGGTTATTTGTTTTGTGAAGAAGTGAGCATGCATTTGCAGGTATAAATAGAAGTGGAAAATTCCTTTGATGTGTTATCGTGCATGCAAATTTTGTCTGCCCCAGCGTTGGGTTGTGTGATAAATCAGTGCAATGGAACTCTCCATTATCCGGGAATCAAGCAACTAATTATTTAACTCGTTTCAGAAACGACATGCTTAATTGTTCCTTCATTTCCTCTATCCATTTCTTTCCTTGTTATCAGTTTTGACTTTGAACCTTCTGTCCAAAATCCAGATCAATTTCTAACACTTACAGTTCATTAAATTGAGAATAATTTTCCCTCTTATCTTTTGGCAGTATACCAATCCAATTAACAAGTTTCAACGCTATCAATAAATTTATGTTAGACTCAGCTTTTTTTTTTTTTTTATCCTTCATTCTCGTTGCTAATTTAGTAGGGATTTAATCATCAAAGACTCCAAGTCAATCCAAGGGAGAGATCATCGACGCATGTGCTTTAAGTCTTCCTTTTGCAGGACCCCAATTGTTTTTACGTATGTGTCAATTAAGTTAGAATTAATGCATGTAAGATTAACAAAAAAAAAATTATGAATGTCTAATATTCCTTTCTTATCAAATAGATTTAAAAGACAAGTTGGTAATTAGTGTGGTAATCGTTTTGAAAAGAAGTAGACTATTAATCATTTAATGGCCTCTTATATTAATTAATTTGATCGAAGAAGAAAAAATCTTCTAATTTATTTTAATATATGAAAATTTTTAGATCGATTAGGACAAATTAACTTTGTTGATATGATTATCTTTTCTTATTTTTTTTTACACATTCGAGATAAATTATTCTTATGAAAATAATTATCACATAATATGTTTTATCTTAATTTAAAAAATTATAAAATAAATGTAAAAAGTTATATAAAAATACACACACTACCATATATTAAACAAAAATATAGTAACACTTAATTATAAGGTTGTCAAAATGGTCTAATTTGATGGTTCAAACTTTAGAAAAGGTTATTCATGGTTTAACCCATCTCATTAATTATGGGTTAGGTGATCAATCCAAACTTGATTCATCTTTAGATAAGTTTAAAAAAAGTCAACTCAAACTAACCTACCACAGATTGATAGGTTAAATAGATTAATTCACTTAAATGAAAGAAAATATAGAAATTTTTTTATTAAACTTTATAAAAATATATATTATAATTATATTTTAGAATTACAATTATGTTAACAAATAGGACAAATAAAATGTCAAAAAAATAGACATTATCCACAATTAACTTAATCAATTTATAAAATCAAAGTTGCATAAAATATTAACAAATAATATTAAATTGACACTAATTATTATAATTCACAATTAGAATGTATAAAATTTAATTATTGATATAAATATATAATCACATAAATTAACACTTGGGAACCTAAAAAATAAAATTAAAAATTAAAAGTATACTATATAAGTCAATCCATGAGCCAACTCAGCTCGCAACGAGTAAGTTCATGACACTAGTACAGAATACACATTCTACGTCGGTTATTTTAGGGGTTTTACGTCGGAAAAACCTCCGATGTTGAAGCGGGAGACGTAAATTTACGTCAGTTGTGAAAACTGACGTAAATTTACGTCGAACATTACAAGGTCCGACGTAAAAAGTTGTAAAAAAATTAATAAAAAAAAAGAAAAAAAATGACTGCAAGCAGAACGGGCCGTTCTGGTTGGAGAACGGCCCGTTGTCCAAGCAGAACGGCCCATTTTGCATGGAGAACGGGCCGTTCTCCCATCAGAACGGCCCGTTCTGCAACCTGGACTTGGCCACTTCCTTCTCCAGCTTCAAAAACTCAGAAAAACCTCCCAGAAAAACCCATGACCAACACAACCGTCCGAAGAAAAAGAACATCATCACGCGAATCAACCTCTTCCCCAACCTTCCTAAGCTTCAGAGGAGGGAGAACTTGTCGAAGCGGAGGGCGTTGATGCCGGACCACTCGCGACGCATGGTGGCTCCGACTGCAAGGGCAGCCACGATTTGAGGAGGAGGCGGAGGGATTTCTCGCGTGTGGCCTCCATTGCACAATGCGCGGGAGAAGGAAATTTTTGAAATCTCTTACTTGAACCTCAACAACAAGCACCAGCGTTCACCACCTTCTTTTAATGGGCCTGTGGATTATTTACGTCGGTCCTAGTAGGGTCCGACGTAAATTTTAACATCTATGTCAGACACAATACATAGCCGACATAGATGTTAAAATTTACGTCAGACCCTAGGAGGTCCAACGTAAATAATTTAACTAAAATTACGAAACATGCCACCGCATTTTTATTACGTCGGGTGTTTGTATGTCCGACGTAAAATAGGTGACGTAGTATCCTAATTTTCTACTAGTGTGATGAGTCAAGTTGTAAATGAGTTGGGTCAGATTTTTCTTATAACTGAAACGAGTTAAAATTTTTTGACTCAATCTAGCTTAAACTTCTGATGAATCAAATTGATTCACCCAGTTTCAATCTACTTTGACAACTCTAAAAAAAAATATAAACTAAAAGTAATGAATCCAATTTAATATACTAATTAATTAGATCATAGATTAAGTGACACATAAAAAAATCTAAGTCATGTGAAGTTAACCCCATTTACTACATTAACCCCATTAGTCAAACCCTAAACTACATTAACCCATTAGTCAAATAACATATTTGTCAACACTACTTAAATATCCCTTCAAATGTGATTAGATTTAATGACATCAATTTGAGAAGGCAAAAAAATCCTTTGACTTGAATGAACCAATTGAAAACTCTATCTCAATACTAATTCAAAAGGTGATGATTTAATGACCCTATTTTGAAAAGAGATAGGAAAAAAATCACTATTTCTAAAATTCATTTTCTTATCTGTACGTAGTGTTTTTTTTTTCAAGTACTAGATGTATTTAAGTTTTAAAATAATAATTCTAAAGTCTTTTATAAATTTTTTCTTAATGGTCTTTTTAATTAGTAAAAAAGATATTTATGTATTATATACCAAGGGATGGATTCATGGCCATGGTAGTGGGATAATTATCCCCACTAAAATTTTACTCTTTCTCATTTTTATATATACTATTATTTTCTTTTTATTATATAATATATATATATATATATGTATATATTATATTTTAATTCACTACAAAAAAAAATTGTTTAACAATGATACACACCTTATAGTGACATAATCACTAGTACAAAAGAGGTATTCCACGTCGGATATTTTGAGCTTTTTACGTCAGAAAAAATACCGACGTAAATGCGGGAGACGTAAATTTACGTCGGACCTGTAAAACTGACATAAATTTATGTCGGACATTACCAAAATCCGACGTAAAAAAGTAGTAAAAAAAATGTAAGAATGCAAGCAGAACGGCCTGTTATGCTTGCAGAACGGCCAGTTCTCCAAGAAGAACGGTCCGTTCTCCATCCAAAACGGTCCGTTCTGCTTGGAGAACGGGTCGTTCTGCTTGTAGAACGGGCCGTTCTTCTTGGAGAACAGGTCGTTCTGCA